GCTCCACAGAGGGTCAAACATCCTGCATCTCATTGTCCCTTCTGTCTCTTTAATTAGTGCCCGTCCTCCCCCTTCTCCCCCTCTCTCAGTGTCCCCCCTTCCCATCTCCTCTCAGCACTTGGTTTGCAGTGCTCTGTTATTTCACCTTTCACGTGCGCCGCCTCCTTCGCCAGGGCCCATCTGACACCTCTGCCTTACACTCATCATGGAAACATAACATTTAAATACAAATAGAACAGGGAATAATTTAACCCCTATTTGCGCTGGGGAAGGTGCCAAGGCTGCATATAAACACTGCAGGGAGGTCTATAGATGCTGTATATTTATCTGACAAGTTGCTTTTCTTCACCACGGTGCCTTGCAGCTTTTCCTGACAGGCACAATCCTCCACTCCTGGCAGAGTGGTCAAGAAGAGGGAAGCCTGGCTCCACAGGGGTATTGGAAAAGTCAGCAAAGGGACATCTCTGGGATCTCTGATTTGCCATTCCAGTGTTTTTTCTCTCCCTTCCTGTCCTCCTGTGAGGATCTTGGGGTGCTACATTCTGTCACTGCTGTGGCTTGTTTATGGCAAAATGGGGCAGAGCTGACAGGAGCTTAATTTTCAGTATTATCAGAATTCACCAGCAAAAACCTCCTTAGCTCTCCTGGGTGCCACCACACACAAAAATATCCACCCATGGTTGTACATTTCCATGGCAAAGCAGGCATGATGGACTCAGCTTGTAGAAAAGATTGATAATGGGGTGTACAATCATGAGGGAAGACAAAAACATGAAGAGAAGAGGTTCACATGGACACCATATTCAGTTGCAATGTTGCAGGGCAACGTCGCTGCCCATAGTGAAGCTGGTTTTAAGGCTGTTGCTGCAGCAAGGTTAGTGGGGAGTCCTCAGATGAGGTAGAAACTGAAATTGTGACTTCAGAGAATGTAATAGAAATGTGGACAGGTTGTTCCTCACAAAAGCAAAGGGAAAATGCTCAGATATGAATCAATACTTGATGCACGTGCGGCCTTGAGGAGGCTACATGGAATAGGCTTCTTTCATCACACCTGTTCTAAGGCATGCTGAGTAAGCTCACTACCTTCATTCCCCTCATAGGGAGCACATGGAGGATGCTCCTCCTGGGTGCCCATCTCCATTGAGCAAGGCTGTGTGGTACTGTGAGGTACAGCTGCCTCTCATGGCCACGGGCCAGTTTAGGTTGGAGCACAAGGTCATGTCCACAGCTCATGCTGGGGACATCCCTGCTCATGTCTGGCCTCTTTTCTGCCCTGGACAGTAATATTTCTGTTCTCCTTGACTCACTTTGGTCTGGGACTCCAGTCTTAGGAAGCGTGATGTGAAGGTTTTTGCCCCACAGTCTGAAATGGCACTGAGCATTGAGCCTGGCAGTGGAGGAGACAGGGGACTGAGTCTGCCCAGTGCTCTGAAATTCAGGTGTGGATCCTGACACACATGTAGTTAGAACAATGTGTCACTAAAAAAGGAGGAAGCTTGGGTCTCAGGATATGGGTGGATTATTGTTGGTAGAGACTGACCCTATAACCAGGCAGAACTTAAGGACAGCATCATCTAGGACTGCTCCAGGCTTGTGTGCAGCCTAAAACTCAGTTTTGTAGGATATAGTGCCTTCAAATCTCACTAGAGACACTGAAAACACCTGGTGAGAAGCACTAGTGGTGTGCACCAGTGCTCAAGACACACCTTGATGACATCAGCACATCCCTTCTTCATTTTATTCTTGCAAACTCATGGCCTTATTTAGACATATTTACAAATCAGAAGTAGCTGTCTTGGTGCATGGCATGTCAGGTTTTTTTTTGGGTTGTGGAAGATTAGTGTATGATGATGCCTAGGTTGTAAGAGGCTCATAAAAGATCATTAGAGGATAAACTCATTAGCCAAGTACTGGAACATGTTGAATGGTCCCTTCTACTGGACTCTTCCCTCTCTTTTTCTACTCAAGATATTGAAGAGTGTCATTAAAACACAGTGTTGAGCTCCCTGAAAGAGCTGGGATGTGAGAGGCAAATGCAGCACTTTGTAATAGAAAGTACTGAAAGTAAAAAAAAACTTGTTAAATCGACTCATTTTTTATCAGTCTAGTGTGTGATTGTGTAGAGTTAGGAGATGGCAGATGTAACAAATGATTCCCCTGACTACACAGGGTGCTGTTTTTCAGGAGGGAGACAGGATGCTGATTTGGATATAGGGTTGGAGGTGATGTCCACGCAGTGGCTGTCCATGGTGATCCCCTTCACTCCATCTCCCCTGGACCTGCAGTTCCTGGGGAAGGTGATCCTCCCCTTTGACAGAGCCTGCTCCTGATGGTCCCTGACCATCTCATGGGCAGCTCACCAAAGCACCACCACACCATCTGCCAGCCAGTACAGTCCCAGTGTACTGCAAAGATGCAGGGTGGGGGATGTAAAAATAATAATTTGAGTGGTTCCTAAAACACCTAGTTTTAGCTTGCATAAACTAGACCAGACAAGGCAGTTTCAGGCCAGTTCCACACTAGAGAGTTTTGCTGACAGAGGAGGGATGTGATTTTTTTTTAAATGATACATTTATATTAGCAAAAAGTCTGGTGAAAACAGTTACACAGCTATAGAAGTGCTTTTGCTGATGCAGCCTATTTGAAACAGGGGAAGCTGTATAAAGCACAATATAACACTCTTCTGTTGTGCTGGAAGTATTTAACAGACTCAAAGTTTCTAGGCAAAACCTTTTGCCAATCATGTTCCTAGTTCTTTCCAGATGATCTGCTCCCTCCCTATAATACCTTGCAGGAAGCTGGTCCCGTTTGCTAGGTGGGTTTTCTTCCAATATCTGGGAAATCTTTGGACTTTGGACTAGACTTGTTTCCTAAGGCTCTGCCATGCCCTAGACTGAAAGATACTCCCCAGAGCACACAGTGAGCTTCAGCAGCTGCTTCTCTAAGGCTTTTACCTTGCATCTTGGAGCCTCTTTTGCAGGACACTTTGGCCATTAGGCAAACAAGCCTTTCACATGTCCAAATCACCTTCTTGTGAGGTGGAGACAGCATACAAGCTGCATGGTGTTCGGTGGTGTGCACGCTAGGTTTGTGCACCACTACAATCTGAACTTTTGGTTGCCATCAAAGACTTCAAAACGCCTCTCTACATAATCAATTCCAATATAAAGTAGGAATATTTCCTGCTTTAACAGGTCTATCAGAAGGCTATTTTTGTTTTTCTGACCAATCAGAAGTGTACCTGTATCTCCCCAAACCTATTTTTCCTACCAGTTCAGCAGCCTAGCTGAAGGCGACATAATTCCTGCTTTTCTGTGGGCAGTACACTTTTGGTTGTCATGGATAATTCGACTGCAGGGTTGAAAGCTCCTAATATCCTCATTCAATAGCCACTGCATGAAAAATTATTCACATCCAAGGCTGTAAAGTAATTTGCCAATGTGCAGGTGCATCTTGGAGAGGGGAATTTTGATCAAACACTGGTTGAAGCAGAGCAGATTGCCTACTCCAGTGATTTCTCAGTGAACAAAAGTGACATGAATTGCCCAATTAGTCAGCCAGAAAAGGGTTATTGCAAACCAGTGTTTTGTTCAGTTTCAGGTTAACCTGTACACTAAAAAAATAAATTAATTTTTTTAAATTATTTAGATATTTACATATATTTATTCAAATTAGCTACATCTGCTCTGTAACGTGCTCTGAAAAAACCCTCTTGGTTCACACATTTACATAGTGTTTAATGAATCATAAATAAGACATTTATGAATCATGTGCAAATGGCCTGTTTACATACACGGTGTAAACTATGCAAATTTCCTTCTTTTCTGGGTGTAATGGTAGTAGTCTTTGAACAGAACTCTGATCAAGAGGTGTCACTCAGCCCTCTCTGAGATTCTTCAGACAATCATTTTTTTCACCAATATTTTCTGGAGGTGTCTCATGAAGATCCCCAAACTTGGTTTAAGTCCAAGTATAAATCATATAATAGTTTGGGTTGGAAGGGACCCTGAAGTTTATCTAGTTCCATTTCCTCCTCTGGGCTTGCTCCAACAGTTCCCTGTCCCTCCTGTGCAGGGACCCCAGCTCTGGATGCAGTGCTCCAGGTGGGTCTCAGCAGAGCAGAGCAGAGGGGCAGAATCCCCTCCCTGCCCTGCTGCCCACGGGGCTCTGCATGCAGCCCAGGACACGTTTGGCTCTCTGGGCTGTGAGTGAACAGTGCTGGGTCACATTGAGCATCCTTGTTCAAAATGCAATTATCCACTAGCAGAAAACATCCTGCTTTGGCATGAAATACCACCTGCCTGAACTATCTCAGATATTAGCAATCGTATAAGTTAACTTAAGTTTCAAAAAACAATTTAAGTTTCAAAAACTTTGGGCTTATTTCAAATGAACTTTATAAATATATTAAAAATCTCATCCAAGCTTGTAGATACATGTCTCTGAGTGGGCATGAATGACAAATCTCCAGTTTACAGGCTGTGACTTCTGTTATATCCTGATTTTAAAAAGCTTATGTTAAACATTTTTTTTTCTGCAACTTATTTAGTATTGCGAGGGCTACTAACGTATGTTATTTTTCATTTGGACTCAGTTCCAATATACTATATTTATCACATTCCTCTTGGATTGCAGTCTGAGCAATGTTGTCATTTCAGTTACTGCCAACCAACTGCAAAAACTGATCAGAAGAAGCTGATTTGGAAAACTTTTGGTGCTTAGATTTTAAGAGGCAGATAAAGATTTTATATATAAACAAACCATTTTTTTTTGTTTGTTGTTTGGTGGTTTGGTTTTCCAAAATTTGCTGGATTATTTCCAAGTACTCATGTGAAGCCAGAGGCTGCTAAGGTTTTTTTTGCGCCAGCCACCTGAAAAGGCTAGCAGCTAGAGATGTGTCACCTTGGTGAAGTCACTGTTCGTGCTGCATGTGATACTGAGCCATCTTGGCTTTCACATCCCCCCTGAAATATGGTAAGCATCTCTTTATTTTGTTCCAGATGTGCGCAGGCTATTCGAGGCGTTTGGCAACATTGAGGAGTGCACGATCCTTCGGGGACCCGATGGCAACAGCAAAGGTAAGGGAAGGCTTGTGTTGAGCTAGACACTGGTCTTTGTGTATGTATCATTTTCTGGTGTGGCAAAAGTACCGTGCAGCCCCCATAAGAACACCACTTACTTGAGGAGGGGTCACACTTTTACTCTGCTTGTCACTCTCTGCTTGTGTGTGAGAGGAAGAAGCTGGACATGGCACATCTCCAACTAGCTGTGCCTCACCACATGCAAACTGATGCCTCCCCTCTGAACCTCTGAACACAAGGCCTTTACATTCACTGAAGATGTGCTCTCCCCACCTCATTGAACAGGATGACTCTTTCCTTTAAAAAACCCAGCATTGGTACTTTACATCTCAACTCACTGCTTCCATCATCACCTCTGTTTATCTCTCATCCACCAGCCCCAGGTCTTTCCCTTCTTCACCTGGTCTTTGCATGGACTTATACCAGTGATTGCAGCTGCAAGGGTACAGGTGCCAGTTTAAATATTGCACTCATTACACATTTACTGTTTGAAACACACAAATCCCTCACTGCAAAACTAGGTGCCTTTCCTCCTTCTGCCACCTTTTTACCTGGATAGCACAAAATACCTTCTGCTACAGGCCAGGTGTGAGAATGAGGCTTCTCTCTTGTGCAGGAAGGTCATACTTTTCCCCCATAAGTCTCTAGACAAACTTCAATCTGAATAGGAAACCTTCTCCTCCTGGCAGTATAATGTGTCCATTAAATATTGATCTGCATATAATACAACATAAACTGTGTTGGCATGTGCAACACCAGAGAAGAGGCCAGTCCTACCAACACAGTTCTTATCTCACTGGATATTTTGACAAGTGACAACATCAAACAGCACATTTTTGCAACAGCGAGGCAAAAAAATCCAAATCACAGTGATGCACTGGAGAAAGATATTGTTATTCCATAAAATCACTGGTGGCCAAAAAAAAATACTTTTCACCAGTCTCATAGCTGTTCAATACACATCACAGTTCAGCCTTCCTGATATAAATGGCTGAAAATAAGCTGTGGGCACCTTTTTTCAGTTTTGTGGTTACTTTATTTGCTCAAAACCCAAAGACAGGGGCTGGCTCACGGGGAAGTAGTAGGCTAAGATGTCCTAGAGAAGCTCCAAAAATCATGACAGCAGACAGTTAAGCATGTCATTCACTGAACAAATCAGTAAATTGGGGAAAAGCAAAAAAAAAAACCTGTGTCTGTCTGCTTCCACCTGGAAAGAAATCTAATGACAAAGGACTTAAACAGAGTAATAATAAAGGCAATAAAGTCTGAGTTCTGTAAGAAACAAATTCCAGAGGAGATCCAACCCACAGACTTGTCTTCACACTTGCTCTATCTTTTTTTTTTTTCTTTCTAAAACAATTTCATTATAAGACAGAATCTGAGTGGCAGCTCCATATTGCTAACCAGTTTAATTATTAGTGCTAGCAGGCTGCAGTCTCAGGCTGACGTTTCACTGAGCTGTTCAGGATCAATACTGAGCCTTGACAGAGTTAATATTACCAGCTTCCATTTGCTGGTGCTATTTACTGAGAATGTGAAGCTCCTAATTTACACATACACGGTTTCGTGCATGCACACATGCACACAGAGCAGTCAATCCAATGGAAAACTTAAGGCTAGTGCCCTTATCTTAGGAGACAGTCAGGCAAGCCACAACTCCCACAAAGTTATTCCCGGTCTGTAATGTTTTCCATCTGCTAGAAACCAATATGTGACACACATTGCTTGTGAGCTACTTATTTTGGGTAAAACCCATAAGGCTTAAATTCTGCGTAAGTTGAGATTTAAGCAGATTGTCTAAATTCCAGATAGCAGTCAGATCCCAGGCACTTAAATCCTACCCAGCCCAGCAGGTATCCCTGTGGTGAGCCTCTACGCCCTCCAGGTAGCTCAGTGCAAGCACTGCTCTCAAAAGCTGGGTTGCAGCCCCCCAGTTTTACCCCATCACAGTCCAGACATAGCCAAAAAGCTGCCTAAGTCTTTCCTGAAGCCCTGGGTGCTCTCCTGAGCCACGGAGAATGGCCTTCAACCTCTGCAGAAATACCTCCTGCAAGAGTCCCAGTGCTAGGAGCAGTGGCTGGAGCAGGTAACCAAGTGACATAAGATCTGTGACTGAGGAATTTCTCACCCTGAAGGGGAATGCAGCACCTGTCTTTCCTGAGAGAGGATGGAGTGATTTTGCACCACTCCAGGTAAAGCTCACCAGGGTTCAGGCAAGAGTGCAGGAGTTCTCAGGTGAGGGACCTGAAGTGGATGCAGAAGGACCCACAGTCTCCACTGCTGCTGCCCTCTGTGAGCTATTCTTTTTCCCTTTTTAATTTTTTTTCCCCATTCAGCAGTCTTCCTCAATAACTCAGAAAGTAAAAATTTCCAACAGCACCCTCCACAAGAAGAGCCTTACTACCCTCTGCAATTACAACCCTAGGGCCTGATTCTGCAGATTCCTCCAAGCTGACAAAACAGTCAGGGCAGCCCTCCCAGCTCTAGTCCGGAAGCAAAGGAACAAGAAAACCTTAAGCACATGTATCACCCTGTTCAGCAGAGGTTATATCTCTGTGTGTGTCAAAATCCCTTCACTCTCCAGAGCTGCTCCTGTCAAAAGGACACCATTGTTCTGAGAAGAGTGACATGACTCACGTCCTCTGCTCACCAGCTCCTGGAGGCAGTTCTGGAGACAATGGGAAGGAAGATTATGTGCACTTTTGCTGTTGTGTACAGAAGCCATCCGATTGAATACACAAACAAAAAAAGGACAAAATGTTGGGATCTCTGCTATTGCCTTGCCATTTACACCAGTAAAACCTGGGTTTTCACTCACCCTGCTGCCTCAAAACCTACTGGAAGAAGTTAATAGAAAGCAGTAGGAGGGATCCCATTAGCATCCTGGGCATTAAACAAGATAAATGCCTGCTACTCCCTTTATTCCCACCTTTATCCAGCTCCACTGATCCATCAGGACCCTCAGCACAGGGGTGAATTTCAACTGACAAGAGTGAAGCCTTCGACATGACAGCAGCATCACAGCCAAAAATCCTGCTCTAAATTAAATTGGTGACTGGAACTGGAAAGCTTTTGTATATTTGCTAATCAGCATCTTCTTTTTAGAGGCAGAAAGTACAAAAGAATCTCTGCAAATAATTAAACACCCTAATTCTGGATTATCTCTGATTAATGAAGAGGAAGACGCAGTATCTCAGGAGTCCCGGAATGCTGGGCTGGGATTATGTCATAATTGATCCCTATTGTTTCCAGCCTGAAGTTTATCTATCTCATTTTCTCATGATTGTCTCCCCTCAGCTCCTTATAAATTAGATCCAACTATTAGCAATAATCATTGGGCCTTTCCTGAAATACAGTCTGAGCACAGTGCTGAGAGGGTGACGCAAAGTGAACAGCCCACAAAGTGAACTGTACGAAATTTCATATGTGTATATTGGTTTTAGAAGGGGCTATCACTACTTTCTTCAATCTCACTTCTATCAGCCTGCAGTGATTATTTTAGGGACCTTTGGGGTTCATTCTTCTACTTTGCAAGTTGTATTGCTTCATTTTCCACCCTGCACTGTAGGGATCCAAAAGAGTGTGAAGACCTTCTAAAGATGCAGCAAAGGGGCTGAAGGAGAGCCATCCCACTGTCAGGACTGGCATCCTGTGCCCTGCAATCTGCACCCCTTCAGGGAAACCGAGAGGGCTTTGCAAATTGATTAAAAGCTCAAAAGTCGTTGGTAGTAATAGAAGAGGATGGAAGCCAAAACTTCTCAGATCTCTCCCAATCTGTTCCAAAAACCGCCTTAGCATATGGAAATTACCCTTCCCGTCTCTGAGTCAGTTTGCTTGTAGCTGGGAGTGTTGGCAATACTTTCCCCCACCCTAGAAGTGCATGCAACCCTTTGAAGTGTTGATCATTTTTGCACTCCAGCACACATCCATAAATGCATCTTTCTGCCCCAAAACCTTCTGTAAGAGCTTGGTGTGAGATTCCCTACACGGCAATACAGGCCAGAGGAACACTGCCCACATTTCCCTAGTGTCCAGAAGAGAACACCTACACAGGCACTGACTTTGCAGCTATGAAAAACTAAGATTCAAGTTTTAGTGGTGACAGGATGGTAATCAACACATGGGTACCTCTCCCACCCCTGCTACTGCACCAGAAGGTGTCTCATGCTTTGCCAGACCTAAGTGGCTCAGAGCCAAGAGAAGCTCTGGGCAGTCTGTCACACAGCTCTACCAAGCAATGATATGATGAGGTACCTTGTGGGTTTGGAGTAACTTGAATGCCTTCTGTACATTTGTCCTGTGGTTGCTTGTATCAAGTACGTGCAGCTCTCCAATAACTTGCACATGCTTCCATATTGGTTCTCACAGCCACAGAGGGAGGAACACTCAGCATTAAGCCTAATACAAATAAAAGAAACAGCTTTTTCACCCAATAAATTGTAAAACTGTGCAAGATTCTGCTGTGGAAAGCTGTGGAGGTCAAAACATGACTAGATTCAAGACGTACTTGCTAAGTTTGTGTCTGTCAGTACTTACTACAAGAAATGTGGGAATCCTGGAAGCAGAATAGCCTTAAGAGGTCCTCAGGCTGCTGATTTCTGGGCTCTGGAAAAGGACCAGGACACTTTTTTTTTGTTATATCATTAGTTAGTTCTGACGACAGGATACTTAGCTAGATGGAATTTCATGGTATCCATGCAAACTTTCTTACACTCTTCTTTTTCCTCTTCCAGGGTGTGCATTTGTGAAATACTCTTCACATGCAGAGGCCCAAGCTGCCATCAATGCCTTGCATGGCAGCCAGACGATGCCGGTGAGTAGCTCTGTAACACGGGCAAGTGAGAATCAGGCCAGCCCTGGCTGCCCTGTGGCCTGATTGAAGAAGAGAACTTATTTATCTGTGCTCTGCAACTCATGATCCAAGGCCCTACCCGGTGCTTTGGGTGTGCTTAACTGCTCAGAGGAAAGGCTGGGATGACACTGTCATTCCTCATAGGCACAGAACCCCTGTGGGTGCTGTATTTTGTCACCAGCAGTTTTTATGACCTGAAAAAAGTAGGCATACAGGTCACACATGCCAAAAACTTTGGGTCAGACTCACCATGAGCACGACCTTTCAAGTTTCAGAGGGATCAAGAAGAAATCTGGAATCAAGTAGAAACTGGTGTCTAAGGGTGTCTTAATTTTCCCTCCTCAGAGAATCCCTGTCTCTAGGCAAAGGATAAAAGAACTTTTTGCCAGCAGAGAGAAGCGTGTTCACATCATGTTAGTAGAAGCTAGAGAAAAATCACAACAGTGATGGGCACCTTTCACTGTTATCACAATAGTACTAACCTAGGCATAAATCTGGTCCCCTACAGCTGCCCTTTGAAAGTGTGAAATTACTGGATCTTCCAGGAAACATCTGAGGGATCAGTCCACTTGCAAAACCTTCTAGTCATATGGGGTTTCAAGACTGATTGCTCAATAAAATAGAAATAGGGTTGTATTTTCTATACAAATAGATATTTGTACACCATCATGAGATAGAGAAGAGTGTAAGGCATTCCACTGTCAGTAGGAGAAGAAAATCCAGTATAACTTGTTTTGGTTTATTATAATAGTGTATTATTTTTATTACTAATTATTCACAGTGTAAATCATGGAAGGCTAAGAAGCATGCTGACAACTTGGAAAAGATACAAGAAAGCTCAATTAAAAATATTTGAGAGTGTAAAATCTCCCTTTCAATAAGAGACTCTAATGTAAATTCATGAATTTATCCAAATAAGTTTAAAGTAGGCCTGACAGATTTTCTCTAGATCTTTGCAGGGATGAAAATGGAAAACTCTTTACAAGCAAAAAGGTTTCTAAAACTAGCAAACCATCAAGATCTCATTTCTTGGAATCCCATCTTAGACAAATCAGTTTAAAAATGGTACATGTTTACCAGTGATGGTACCCAAAAAGTCTGCTCAAAGATGGGATCTCCATATTTTGAAGTACTTAAATATTTTTAAGAGTCTCTTCCTAGAAGGCTCCTTCTAACAAAACCAGATGTTGGGCTTGATGCTGACATCCCATATATATTATGGGATATATATTATGCTGATATATTATGGACATCTTTCCTGAGGCAGGTCAAAGAGCTACTTTTAGTGACTTTGACACAAAGTGATAATGTCTATAAACCAACATTAGGAATTTTGATTGAGTAGGGTGTGGTACCACAGAAAAGTTTAGTAGTAAGTCAGTCTTCATCCCAAAAAACCTGTAAATTCCTGTGGCAAAGGCAAGAGGAAGATATGAGAAAACAGACAAAACACAAGGAGAGTTAATGATTTTATCTAGATCTAGAATACCCAAAATATCATTATTCCTCCCCAGACCTTTCCGTTCCTACTTTCAGAACACCTTGGATTACAAAAACATACTTCTCTCACAACCACCTGGAAACAACTTATGACTCCATCCTTGTGGTATCACCTGAGCTTAGGATATACAAAACACCTGAAAATTTGGCTACTTCATGGGTCAATTTTGTGGGACCATTTGTCCTCTTGGCTCGTCTGACTCAAATACCAAAAGCTATAGAAATATTCTTTTATAACCAAACCTTGGCATCTGAAAAAGCAACACAATTTATTCTTTACTAGATGCCCATCCCAGACTCAGAATCAAGTTTCCATGACTTCACAAGTTTCCATGGATTGACTGAGCCTCACAGTACATACTCACAGTTCACAGAAAAAAACGAGGAGGAAATTCATTTCCTCCTCTTCATTATAAACTAAGTTACATGGCGTTGCCTTGTGTCTCCCATGAGTTACCAGCAGGCACAACACTGCAACCAGGTCCTTGCAGACCCCGTGAGGACCTGCAGAGTGACCAACACTCCACGAAGCATGTGGAGCACAACAGGCTTTTCCCACAGCGGCTCAAAATTTCTACAGCTCTTCAAACGAGATAGGCCAAAGCCTGCACGGATGCCTGTGCCCATCCTTGTTTTCATGGTACTTCGGGGTGTGCAGCGATGCTCAGGACCAGCTTGGACGTTCACAGGGAAATGCAGCCACCTCGTGGTGAGACGCCGACGCAGCCCTCCGTGCTTGGGAAGGAGGGGGGCACTTCTGCCATCTTCCTTCAGCCCCCTTCCATTCCTCTGGCCGCTAGGAATGGCCTTGTTTGCCTGGTTGTGATGCCAACTCAACGCTGCTCCTGTGGTTCAGCCAATTTCAGCATCTCTTGGTTTGTCCTCCTGCACCACCAGCAGGGCATCCATCATCATTCTTGTCAGGTCTCGAGCCGTTCGTTCCTGCGGCAGACTCCTGTTTCTCCACAGCTGTCAGGATTATTGCTCTACTGTGACTTCCTGTTCACACAACATATGTTGCCTAATAGTTTCAAAAGGCAACTTTCTTTTATGAAAGTTCCTTTCTCTTTTTTTCTTTTTTTTTTTTTTTTTAATTAACCTTACCTTGGACAAATGCCTGGCCATTACAAGCCCATTTCTCTGTGTAAGGTACTTGTATCTCCTAAGGGTCCACCAAGTCTAAATCCTTCCAATTTTTACACAACCAATTTCCTGTAGAAATAAGCTACCCAAAATCTCTTACTTTTGAGCAGGCACAAAGTTCCTTCTACACCTACCTGTCAAGAAAGCTTCCTTTTTGTCTTTTTAGATTATATTTTCTATCAGTTCATCAACTTTATGAGAATGTTGAGATCATAACCTTCATATACATTTACTTGTATTTATAATATGTTAACAGCAATTATATGTCCTGTACTTTTAGTTTGATTACTCCATCCCCTCCATATGGGGACATAAACAGGTCTCTTCCTATCATTCTCTTCTCTTCCTCATCCAAGCCTCGTCCCTAACAGCCTTTTCCACCAGCACAGATTCAGCTGCTATTGCTGTAGTGACAGCTTGCAGATCTAATTTTTCTGCTTCAGGACTGACTCCTGTCCAACCCAAAATCTTGGTCCATCTTTCCAGCATCTCCTGATTATGTTCAACTGTCAGAACATGCTCAATATGTATAAAACTGAGCCTTGAACTTTTCCAGCCAAAACCTGTCTTTTCTATCCTCCTCTTCCATTCTCAATCATTTTGAACAATATTATCATTCTCCTTGTCAGTCATGCTCCTTCCTAGGCATCATCCTTAGTTTGGTTTTCTCCTTCTCCCCGTCTTCATATCTGGGCAACAGCCAAATGTTGAAGAATCATTCTGCAGAACACATCTTACAAATCTAAGATGTGGCCTTGTCCATCCACCCACACAGAACAGACTCTTCCCAAAACTTCATTGAGCTATCACAGAATGGTTTGGATTGAAAGGGACCTCAAAGATCATCTACTTGTCCATTAGCAGGAGTGGAAACACTTTCAACTGGACCAGGCTGGTCAATGCCTTATCAACTCCTTGGTCACTTCCAGGGATGGAGCAGCTGCAGCTTCTCTGGGCAAAGGCTCCACTGCCTCCCTCATCACCCTCACAGAAAAAAATTTCTTCCTAACAGCTGACCTAAGCCTGCCCTCTTTCAGTCTGAAGCTGTTCCTCTGTACTTCACTCCAGACCTTTTCAAAAGCCCCTCTCTAGCTCTCCTGTAGCCCTTTAGGCACAGGAAGGTGCTGTGAGGTCTGCCTGGAGCCTTCTCCACCCTGAACAGCACCAACTCTCACAGCCTGTCTTCACAGGAGAGGTGCTCAGCCCTCTGAGCATCTTTGTGGTCTCCTCTGTACTCAGTCCAACAGCTCCATGTCCTTCCTGTATTTGGGGCCCTGGAGCTGGATGCAGCACGGCAGGTGGGGTCTCCAGAGAGTGGAGTAGAGAGGCAGAATCATGCACATTTAAGTCACAGCAAATATTATCCTATCCAGAAGCTATGCAGGGTTAAAAAATAGAGTATTTTTGCACTCCTTTTCACCATCACCCACTGTGGCAACTCAGAATTTCTTTGGTTATGAATTCATTCCTGGAAGGGGTAAAAAGGGTGTACTGTGTACATTTCCTGCACAGGGCTGAGAAGAGGTGAAGGGTGTGATGTGCTTGACTTACCTTTAACAGTCTGAAAGTTTGTGACCTATTCTAAATATCTTCTAGGATTCCTGCAGAAAGGAGAGAGAGACATTTCCAGACATTTGTGCATTCTTCACTTTTTCCGTGCTAGGATGGGCAATATCACCTTCTGGGCATGCCTGTCCCATTATAATGGATAACTCAATAACAGACATAGACTGAATACCTGAGTGGGACTCATCTAACCTAATTTGAGACATCCAAAAGTTAAGAAACTCATGTCTGAGGCTGTCATCTAAGTTTGTCATCTAAGTTTCTCTCATAATCAATAGAGGGAAATAAATACCTCTGGAGGAATTTTATTTTACAGAAATAGATTTTGAAACCTGTCAAACTAATAGGCAAGTCCAAATAGAAGTGTGCTTTTTAGCTAATTTTAGGCATCAATTTGCTAGGGTTCTCGGGCTCCAAAATAGTGGTTCTTCATCCAAAGTGTAACTTAGAATGAAAAAGGTCCAATACTGCTTAAAAACGAGATAAAATCAGTGCAGCCTAAAGTGAAGAGTTCACAACCAATGTGCGGAAACCTGAAATGTGTCTTGGATGTTTGTTGCCCAGATAAAGCAGTTTGGGATTCAGAAACCAGGCATCCTGCAGCAGAGTCCACTGACTCCTGTTCCATTAGATGTGCTGTGAACTTGCTTAACACACTAATTGTCAGCACTATGTTCATTCTGTAACTTTTCTTTAATTAATAATGTTTAAGGCCATCAAGACCTCCACGCCTCTGTAAGGTGGCTTCTCCT